ATTGGGAGAGACTTGATTTTTTTTTTTATCAGTATGGGCCCGAGTTTAAATTTTGGCTGTGCTACTCACCACTTGTGGGACCTTGGACAGTCATTTAATCTCTGGGTGTCAGGTTCCTTATCTGTAAATTGAGGGGGTTGGGTCAGTCTCTTTCCAGCTCTGAATCTCTGATGGAAATGAATTTAGTAAAAGAACCCACCCTCTACTCCCTTGACATTGGGAAGACAAACAGCCTCACATAATGGAAGAAAAAACAAAGTCTGAGTTTGGAAATCTGAGGAACTGAATCAAAATCCTGACTCTTTTAATAATGTAGACCCCTCCCCCAAACCATTTTGAACCCCTAAACCTGAGAAAGGCCTAAAACCTGGACTGGCAAATCAGGAGGGACATTTTGGTCCTCTTTGAGTTCAACCTACCACAATGCTTTTCTTTGTTCTCTGAGTGAACTCAACATGCCCCTTCCTGTGTTAGTAACTACAGGACCAGATGAAGCTGACCAGCATTCTTCCGTTTATGACCACTAAGGCGCCTTAACCCAGACACTACCTTGAATAATGGGGCTTTTCTTGTCTTGGTATTTTGCTATGTTATGCCATGTTAAGGGTAAAAGAAACACAGATATCCTAGATCTGTAATTTCGATCGACACTTTGACATTCTCCCATCTTGTATTTACAACCTATTAAGAAATTCCTTTCTCATCTCATGGTTAAACATTTGGAGACCATAATTTTGGCTGACATAGGCATCCTGAGCCAGGAAGGGAGGGACGGGTGAGAGGGAATTGCTCGGAACTTATAAAACCTTTGGGTTTGTTGTCTCTCCTATATGTCCCATGCATATCTCTATATGTATGTTTTGCAAGCTTTGAGAGAAATAAACCACTCATATTCAGACTGATTTTATTTGTCTTCCTAAGAACGAACTCAGTGATGGTTGACACTTACTACCTGGTTTGGCCTTTGCCAAGGCACTTAGCTTCTCTGGCCTTAATTTTCCCATCTGAAAAATGAGAAAACTTTCTAGCTGTCTCTGCACTTTGCCCCTCATTCTTCAGCTGCCTTTTCCCTTTCTCTAGACATCGCAAACTCCATAGTCCAAAACAGAATTCATTATCTCCCCCCACCCCTCAGAATATCTCCATTGTCCCATCTTCAGTATTACTGTCAAGGGCACCTCCATTGTCCTGGTCACCCAAGTTTGCAACCTTGGTGTCCTGCTGGACTCCTCACCCCGCATATACAATCCATTGCCTTATCTGTACCTTTATAATCTCTCTCCTATATGTCCCCTTCTCTTCAATCACACAGCCACCAGCTTAGTGACCCATCAGTGTACCCTTAGGCTATTACAAAAGGATTTCTTTTTTTAGGCAATTGGGGTTAAGTGACTTGCCCCAGGGTCACACAGCTAGTAAGTGCCAAGTGTTTGGTCTGAGGCCGGATTTGAACTGAGGTCCTCCTGACTTCAGGGCCGGTGCTCTGTCCACTGCGCCTCCTAGCTGCCCCTACAAAAGGATTTTAATTTGATTTCCCGGTCTAATCTCTTCCCACTCCAGTCCATCCTCCATCTAGCTGCTAGGGTGACTTTTCTAAGGCACAGGTCTGATCCTGTGCACTATAAACCATAATGAGTCCCCATTGACTCAAAGATAAATGGCAAAGTTGTGAAGCCTCTTTCCCCACAATAGTATTGTGGTTTCACCTTCCCTTTCCCCAAATGCCCTCCTACCTTTACCTTTCCTCTTATTCCTCCATCCCCACCTTGTCAGCAGAGAGAGCACCCAGCATGCTGGGAGTGGCGCCACGTCAGACCTAGGCTGGCAATCCTCTTTTGTGCTCACTCATTCTGCGTAGTCTTCCCAATGGGCTGGACAGGGACCCACATCTTTCTTCTCCCTGTATGAAAGGCATGGAGTAGGGAGTCAAAAGAACAGGTCACCCCCCCCTTCATGGGGTTGTTTCTTTGTAAAATGAGATTAGAGTAGATGGTCTCCAAGGCCCCTTCTTGCTCTGACGTTTTGTGTTCACAGAGTCCTTCTGACAGGCTTGGACTAGATGCCTTGAACAGTAGCTTAAGTCAATAAAGACCTTGGGGATTCTACTTCTTCCCAGGGTACAAAAAGAGGCGAGGCTAACCAGAGGTCAGCACAGGAAGGGCGAGGGCCGAGAGACTTGGATTTCTCCTACAGCAGGGACATTACGGATCTTTTGAGAAGTCATTTAGTCTCTCAGTGAGGATATCCCCAGTTCTTCAATACTGTCTCTCATCCATGAACCATAGTTTGGCGACCAGCTTTGCCACTTGAGCTTTCAATGTGGAGTTTGGGTGGGTGGGTGGGGGAAGGTGTCTTCCCTTCCTATTTAATGTCAGCTCTACAATGAATACACATGGTGACTAGTAGAGAAACCTATTTATCCAAATCATAGCCAAACAGAAATCAGAGACAGTATACAGAGGAAGTTATATGTCAGACAATAGAAGGAAGGAGCTCTCCCATTGGAAACAATATAACTCCACTCAATCCCGAGAGTGTGTTTGTTCTCATCCAAGGGGAAGTTCCCCAAAATCTCTACTAGAAAGCTCGGAATAGGGACATGATGGAGATTGACTGCTCTTCTCATCTCCTCCCAGAATCTGTTCCGTTAGAAACCTAAAGCAGTGTTGGCTTTTTCTATCTTTTCTCTTGAAACTGGAAGCCAATTCCAATTCCACCTTCTGCTCAAATAAGACTGTTGCTCTGAGAGTCCCAAAGAGCACTGGCTGAAAACTGAAGCTCTTGCCTTTGGCCAACTCTATCTCAACCCTTACACAAGGGCAGGTCCTTCATCTCTACCAATAAGGAGAGTCCCATGCCAATGTGCTTTGGGGCAGGGCTTACACCACTAACGTGCTGAATTACTGTGAACAAATTCTTCCCAGTCTCTCAGTTTCCATCTTTGTAAACAAACTGAGTTAGAACAGATGACTTCTAAGATCCTTTCCAGCTCTTATGTCCTATGATTCTAAAATAGACTCTATACAATAAAGCTGGTTTAGACGCCTACTTCTGCCATTTAGAAATCATTTAACTTTTTTTTGTTGTTGTTGTTAAGGCAATTGGGGTTAAGTGACTTGCCCAGGGTCACCCAGCTAGTAAGTGTCTGAGGTCTGATTTGAACTCAGGTCCTCCTGACTCCAAAAGCTGGTGATCTATCCACTGCACCGCCTGGCTGCCCCTGATCCTTGTTGTCCTCATCTGCAAAAATGAGAAGATTGCTCTAGAATACTCTTTGATTCTCTTTCCTCTCTAGAGCTACATTTTCTGCTGCTGTCTAACCCTAGGCAAGTCACTTAACACCCTCAAACCTCAGTTTCCTCTTCTGTAAAATGAGGAGGGTTGTTCCAGATGGCTTCTGAGGTCTCTTACCTCCGGGGTTAAACATAAAACCCTCTGTTTGGCTTTTAAAGCCCTTTTTAACCTGCTCCACTCCTACCTTTCCAGTCTTCTTCCACCTTCCTCTCCTCCATATTCTCTATGATGAAGGCACATTGGACTCCCCAAAACAGGCATTTTCACGGGCTGCTCCCCAAGCCTGGGACACTCTCTTTCCTTCTTTCTGGTTTCCTTCGAGTCTCAGCTAAGACCCCACTTTCAGAACAAAACTGTTCCTTGTCCCTCTAAACACAAATGCCTTCCCTCTGTCTATTATCTTCAAGTTACCCTGTACATAGTATGTTCCCTCCTCCATTAGAACGTGGATTCCTCAAGGGAAGGAACTAATCTTGTGTTTCTCTGAAACCTCAGGATTTAGCGCAGAGCCTAGCACACAGTGGGCACTTAATAAATGCTTGTCGACTTGTTGCTTGTTGTATCTTTCGAATTTTGTCTTTGGTACTGTGTGAGCTTTGACAAGTCAGAGGCCTCCCAGGGACTTCTTTTCTTTTCCTTTTTTTTTTTTGTTTGGTAAAATGAAGAGGTTGATCTGGATGTCTTTTGAGGTCCCTTCCAGCTCTAAATATGATTTTGTTGTTTTTTTAATCAATCAATCGATCAATAATTAATTTTTTAGGCAATCGGGGTTAAGTGACTTGCCCAGGGTCACACAGCTCGTAGGTGTCAAGTGTCTGGTCTGAGGCCGCATTTGAACTCAGGTCGTCCTGATTTCGGGGCTGCTGCTCTATCCACTGGGCCACCTGGTTGCCCCTAGATATGATTTTCTGTTACAGTGTGACCTTCCATAGTCACTTAACTTCCCTTGGCCTTAATTTCCTCCTACAGTCTAGATGGTCTCTGAGGTTCCTTCCAGTTCTGGATCCAGGAAGCCCTAGATCCTCTCTCTGCTACTGTATGACCTTGCTCTGGTCATCCCTTGGGTCTCAGTTTCCTCTTCTGGAAAATGACGGACGTTCTGTCCCTTTCGGCTCTGGTCTGCCTCCACTAGCCTAGGAGCAGCAAGCCCATGTGGCTCGCACGTGCGCATTCCAGGCTCTCAGAACATTCTCTGCCAAGTTCCAGTTGCTCCGCCCCTTGCCACGCCCCTCTCCCCGCCTTGCCAGCTCTCTCTCGTGACGTCATCATCGCGGAGACCGCAGCTGTTGAAGGACCCCGGGCGGCCCGCCGGGAGGGCGGATGCTGAGGCGAGGCGGGGGCCTCTCGTGCCGGTGTCGCGCAGCCGGGCGGGTCCCGGGGGCGCCTGCTCGGCGTCCCCGCGGCTCGGGGCGGGCCCCGAAAATTCCGGCGCCGGGGCGGCGGGTGTCGGCGGGCTCGAGGCGTCGTCGGGCGGTCGCCTGGCGCGGGCTGGGGGCGGCGAGCCGGGGACGGCGGTCGGGCAGGCGGCGGGGCGGCCCGGCGCGGGTGTCCCGGCGATGTCTGGCGCTGAGGCGGCGGCGGCGGCGGCGGGATCGAGAGCAGAAGCGGGAGCCCGAGCCGGAGCGGGATCGCGGCGGCGGCGGTGGCGGCGGCGGCCCCGGCGGCGGCGGCGGCTCCGCGGCGGGAGCTGGCGGCCGCGGCGGGCCTGAGCGGCGGCGGCGGCGGCGGCACGAGCGCTGGCGGCGGGGCCTCGGCCCCTCTCCTCGCTCCGCCCCCGGAGTCCGGGGATGAGGCGGGGAGGCAGCGGCGCCGGCGGCAGCAGCAGCAGCAGCAGCAGCAGCAGCAGCACCACCACCGAGGGGCGCCCCCGCCCGCCGCCGGCCTAGCGCCCCTGGGATCCCCGGCCCCGCTGCCCCCGAGCCCTCCGTCCCCTCCGGGGGGCCGGGGCCGCCCGCGCCGCGTCCGGGCCGCGGGCACCGCGCCGAGGAGCATGTCCGCCGACACGGAGATGGAGAAGAGCATCAAGGTAGGTGGGGGGAGCGCACCCCACCCGGGAAAGGAGGAGGGGGCGCCTCGGCCCCTCCCCTCCCTCCAGACGGGCGAGGCCGGTGTCGGCCCCTGGGGAGAGGGAGCTGGGATTGGGTCTGACTTGGCATACCGTAGGCGCCTAATGAGTGCTTACTGACCGACCCACGTTTTTCCTCTCACGTGAGTCAGAAGTTAGTTTGGGGCGCCACTATAGCCTTCTCTAGCCTCAGTTTCCCCCTCTGTGAATAGTAATAGTACCTGCCTCATTGTGAAGTTCAAATGAGCTGTTGGGAACAGGCCAGTGTCAGCAGCTGGGAAAGGGGAGCGGGAGCTAATAACAATAATATAATACCAGTAATAATGACAATGGTAACAGTAGCTGGCATTTAGATATCTCTTTGAGCACTTTACAAATATTAATCTTATGTAATCCTCACAAACCATTCTAGGGGTCAAGTGCTATTATAATTTCCATTTTACAGATTGGGAGACTGAGGCAGGCAGACTTGGCCCATGATCTCACAGGCCATGTCTGAGGTCACATTTGAACTCGGGTCTTCCTGGCTCCAGGTCCAGCCAGGCTGTCTACTGAGACATCCAGCTGTTAGAGTCAGAAGACCAGTCTTTTGATATTAACTAGCTGTGAGACTCTGCCTCTGGGGGCCTCAGTTTCCTCTTTCTGTGAAATGGAGATGCTGCTGCTGCTGCTAACACTAACTGGAGTATCCTCCTTGAAAGACTGTCAAAGAAAGTAATTCGGGAGAAGCTCTTTGATGGGATTCCTCTGGGCCAACCTCTTGGGATCCAATGAGATTATGCTGAGGAAGGGCTTTTATACACTTTAACTGGAGGCTGGGGTGACCCTGGATCACACAGGTTTTTCAATCTCCCTGAGCCTCAGTTTCCTCTTCTGTGAAATGTGAGGCTTGAGGGTGGCATGTGGGAGGGGTCACAGGGTGGTGATGAGACATCTGGCAGTGGAGGGATGCATGTCACCTAGCCAGAGGACTTGGCTTCACCTCCCTCCTGACATTGACTAGCTGTGTGACCCTGAGGGAGTCATTGTATCCTCCCAGAGCCTCACTTTCCTCCTCTGTGAAATGGGAATAATAATAGTACCTACATCATAGGGTTGTTGTGAGGCTCCATGAGATAAAATTCATTTAGGAAACTGTAATATGTGTTAGGACATCCTCTTATGTGGGTTAGAGTTCCATAACTCCACAGCTGGAAAGAAAGGGACCTCCCTTAGCGTCACCCCTGCAGAAAGTTAGGCTCAGGTGCACACTAGCCACCAAGTGTTTTGCAAACTTTCATGTTATGTAAATGCCAGCTATCATTACTTTTACCATCTCAGTGGGAGGACAAGGGGCCTAGAAAGGTAACCCCAGTTTCCTCCAGTTTGTCTAGAAGAAGGCTGTCAGTCAGGCTGACCGTCCAGAAGGCTCCCTAGTACTTGAGAGTCAGGGCCAGGGTGCTGACCTTGGATTAGAAAGGTTTGGGTTGAAATTCCTTTTTTTTTTTTTAATAAGAGAGAGTCCTTGTGCATGTTTTATCCAACAGTGTAAGGCAGTGTGGTGTTTGTGAGTGGAGTGCTGGACTTGGTATAGGGAAGATAGCTTCTGATAATAGCTGTGGGAGTTTCCTTATGTGTCAAATGGTGATAATACTTCCTTATCACACAGGGTTGTTAGGAGGTTCAAATGAGAAAAGATATGGGAAGCATTTAGAGATCTTCTAGTCTGACTTCTTTTAACACCTGAGGAAATTAAGGTCCTTGCAGGGGAAAGAGTTTATCCAAGGAAATAAGGATAGTAAGCAAAAAGAACCAAGATTTAAGCCCAGGTCTCCTGACTCCAAATTTAGTGCCTCCCATTCACCTCTGTCCTCCTACTCACAATGCCATACCTCAGTCCTTCCCTTCTTTCTCCTGCTCAAGGCTGGGCATGTGAGTATGTTTCTCCAGGATAGACTGTTTTCTTTCTGGTTTACAAATCTGCCTTTCTTGCCGCCACTCTGGGAGGTTGCAGCTTCATAGAATTTAAACTGGAAAGAGTCTTAGAGACTATCTAGTTCAAGGCTCTAATTTTGTAGAGGGATAAACCGAGGCATCAGGTGGGCAGGATGTTTGCCCAAAGTTTATTTGGAGTGGAAGGGCTTAGACACCATCTAGTCCATCCCTCTTCTTTTACAGAGAAGGAGTCAGGCTTCAGGGGGTTAAGTAATTCCTCTAAAGTCTTGACAGGTGGCGAGGAGCAGAGTGGAGTTTGTGACCTCAGGATTTTCCACTCCACCACGCTTTAGGGTAGTTGTTTGGAATCATCTTAATCGATGTGGAAGCTGAAAGCCATCCTGGCTGTGGTCCCAGACTAATTCAGGGCAGAGCTGAGGATTTCTGAGGCTCAGTTCAGAGGTCTCTGTCTTGTACCCACTGCTTCTGCCCCAGCACCCTCCACCATCCCTTCTGCTTCCACCAGGCCCTGGTGAGTAGCCCTCCCCCCTTCTCTGTCCCTCTTTGCTCCAGCATCTGGTACTGTCTGGAGGGAGTGACATTCTCTGGGTGTCTTGCCTCCCACTCTTACTTTGTCGCTTCTTTCTCCCCCTTCCACTAGTGTAACAAAAAACAACAACCCCAAACCCTTCCTGGAAAAACATGTTGTTACTGTGCATGATCAGATAAAATTTCAGGTTCTTACATGACTATTGGATCAAGCAGGGAAGTGTCTTGTATGACTATGGCTTATTTCTCTTGAAACTGTCTACATGTGTCTTTCTGGAAGTGGGTCCCAGGGAAGGCATTTACTTTGGGGTTTTTAGGGAGCATTTTGGTTGCTTTTTGTTGACTTTAGATCCTTTGAAGCATTTCTTTCCAAAGGGAATCCTGCTGTGCAGAGCAGAGACAGTGGGAGGTGATGAATTTGAGCACCCACCTTGGAGTTCACAGTCGGGACTTCAGTCCTTGCCTCTGATGGTGTCCTCGCTCCCTGCACGGCTCTGAGCTTCATCTGGAAAGGGAATGGACATAATAATAGGATTTCCCTTTCGAGATAGGAAATGGGCTTCTGAAAACTGCTTCCGAAAGTGCTTGGTTTGAGCTCCAGAGCTTTGCAGGTTCCCCTGTTGCTTTAATTTGTTTAAAAAGAACGAAGAGTGCTTGCTGACATTGCTTCCTTTACTAGAGGAGAGACAAATAAACTGGGATTTTTTAAAAGGCCCGTAATAAAATGAGTTTTCTAAAGCCCATTTTTCCCCCTTCCTGTTTTGGCTTCTTTTTCTTTCACTCTTCAGTGCTCAGCACAGTGCCTGGCACTCAGGAAGCAATTCAGTGCTTGTTGATGAATTTTTTTCCTTTTAAAATGAAACAAGCCAAATTGTTTTTGACATGTCTGAAGGTTATTTTGATGGATGTGTGTCTAGGAATTATGAAGGGTTAATTATGCAAAGCAGAAGCAAACTAGAAGCTGTCATGCCACTTGTGGTGAAAAGGTTGATATACATCATTTGTTCCTGATGTCTTGTAAACCAAAGCTTTTGATCTGTCAGTGACAGGTCCAAAGTATTTTATTCTTCTTTGGTGTTTCCCTGGCACAGGCTTCCTTTGGCAGCTTAGACTTCCTTCTGGGTATGAACCCTGGAAGGTTGTCTTCCAGTGGTGACTAAGTTCAGTACTTGTATCAGTTTAATTCTGATGTATTTTCTAGACAGTGACATGGGGTTCAGCACCAGGCAGGGGGCTTTTGTCATAGGCAGCCCTAAGGTGAGGAGACTTCCATTACCAGTGTAGGTCAACACCTCTGCACCTCGAGTCTCGGAGGCACAGAAAGGTTCAGTGGTCGGGCCAGGGTGACTCACGTTACCGGTACGGGTCAAAGGCAGAACTTGAACCCAGGTTTTCAGGCTGCTTTTTATCTATTAAGCCATGTCACCTCTCTTAGACGACATGTACTGGAGACTACTTGGTGTAGTAGGAGTGCCAGCTTTTCAAGGAAGCTTGGGAAGCAGTTTAAATACTAAGGAAGACCTATGCCTTTAAAAACATAAAGGTTTAAAATTTATTTTCTGCTTCGTTGTATCTGACTCTCCTTCTTTTGGGATTGGAAATTTTTTTTTAGATGGAGACTGAATTATATGCTATTGTGAAGATGACCCAAAGGGAAGAAATTTCATGTACACTTAAAAGCCTCATAGCCTATAGTTTTCATATATGTAAACAGGGCCTGTAGTTTAGAAAGTCAGAATTTTCAACTCGGGGAAAATTAACTTTTTTTTGAGCACAGCCCAAACTAATTTTCTAATCTCCCTCCATGTTTTGCAGCTTTCCTTGATTAACAACTTTTTAATAGTTATATACAATTTGTTGGTACAAAATAGAATTGTCTGTTAGGCATTGCCTTGCAAGTGTTAGCCCACAGCACAAGCTAGCACAGGCCTTGAAACCTGAAGACCCAAGTTTGACCCTGCCTGGCTCTATGGAGCAGTCAAGTCACAGCTCTTTTCTGAGCCTTTGTTTTTCTCATCAATGAAATGGGAATGAGACCATCTGGGTTACCTAGACCTTAAAGCTCTGTAGAAATAAATGTGTTGTTAGGGATTAATGGAGGTAAGATTCTCTGATGGATATCTCTTGCAGTAACCGCCAATTCCTAGTTCTTTGCTTTTTGGAAAAGTTAACATCACTCCCGTAAAACTTGGCTCTGTAACGTCTTGGTGCATTCATTTATTTGTGGTGTTGGCAGCATTGGTGCTGTTCAGGCTGAAGGGCCACAGTTTAGGAAGCATGGGGATGAACTGGAGACGGTCAAGAAAAGAAGTAGTAATGGGAAAGGCCTGGAGACCGTCACCTGAGGAGTGGGGCTGTTTGCCCTGGAGGTGAAAGGACTGGAAGAGCCAGCAGTTGTCTTCAAGGGATAGCCACGGAAAAAGGACTTGTTTTTGCTTGGTGCCAGGAATCAGAAGTAGGAACGGCAGATGTAAGAAGCCAAGGCACACTCGACATCG